CTCAACGGACCCACCTTCTGAGGCGGAAATACATAAGGAGGTCCAAGCCTTGGGACGTCACAAAGCGCCGGGCTCCTTTCCCCTGCTCTATTTGAAGATGGTGGAATAACGCTTGTTAGAGAACTGCAAGTTGTTTTCCAAAGTGTGGAACACTGAGCAAGTCCCCTCCTCGTGGGGGAATCGATTGTTGTCCTCATCTTCAAAAAGGACCCGCGCAATGACTGTGCCAATCATAGGGGTACAAGCCTAATCCCGATAGCGTCAAAGCTATTGGCGTCCGTCATTCTCCGCCGATTGTACACTACGCGCGAGGAGCAGGCTGAGTTTCGCGCCGGTCGTGGATGCATCGATCAAATCTTCACCCTCCGATAGCTACTAGAGTACCGTCATGCTTATTAAAGACCAACGACCATTGTATTCTTAGACATCCGCGCGGCCTTCGACTCTGTCGATAGAACCGCACTATGGAACTGTTTGTTGAGGAACGGAGTTCCTGAGAACTACGTGTCGATCCTCAAAGAGTTGTATCGTCATACCTCAGGTCGGGTTAGGGCCCATGGCCAACTTTCGCCACTCTTCGCCGTCTCCAGTGGAGTTCGGCAACGCTGCCCTATGTCCCCATTCCTTTTTAACTTTGTCGTAGACGGTGTTCTACAGAATGCTTTGTCCGGTCTAGCAAACGGAGTCGAACTCCTCCCAGGGAACAGAGCCCTCGACTTAGAATATGCCGATGACATCGCCTTGCTAGGTGACAACACACAGGCAGTCCAAGAGGCTTTGAACCGCTTGACGATAGAGGTATCCCAGTATGGTACGTGCTTTGCACCTGGAAGGTGCAAAGTGCTTGTTCAAGACTGGCAGGAGCCTGTGCCTGCACTCACCCTTTGTGGTGATCAGCTAGAAGTATTCGAGAGCTTTAAGTACCTCGGGAGCTTGATCGCGGCTGGTGGAGGTGTTGGAGAGATCACATCACGAATAGCGAAAGCTAGAGCAGCTTTCACCGATCTGCAACGCCACCATGACACCCGACTGTCCCTTAAGGGTAGGGTGTACACCGCCGCGGTTCGTAGCGTTCTCCTTTACGGTTGCGAGACCTGCCTCTCCGGGTTGAGGATGCCAATCGACTTTCTGTATTCGACCACCGACGTCTCCGAAGCACTGCCCGTGTCTGGTGGCAACAACGGGTGAGTATTGACGAGGTTCGTCGTCGTTCGTTGGGTGCGGATAGTCGCTCTCTCACAGAAGTAATCGCTCTACACCGCCTCCAATGGCTTGGTCACGTATTGCGTATGCCTGCCGATAGACTACCTTTCCGTACTCTCTTCGCACGTGCTGGGAAAGGCTGGAAGAAGCGGCGNGCGCGGCGGTCAGACCATGACATGGGCTAGAAGCATGAAGAAGCTGGCTTTGGCTTCGGTTGGTGCAGCCCGCCTTCCAGGTTGGAGCCCAAGGGATGAGGATTGTAGTTGGTTAGAGACGCTGAGGGATATGGCCCAGAATAGAAGTTAGTGGCGCAAACGCTGTACGGTCTGCGACTCGAAATCCCGTGCCCCGTAAAAAAAATATCACGAGGTGTACGTTGAAACACAAAACAATTTTGTTATTCCAGATATCTTCCATTTTCCCGTGTTCAACTGTTTCACCCCCTTTTCATCCTGTTCTGTACTCCAATCCACCTGTCCCCTTTCATTGTTTTTGTAATTATTGTTGTTGCATTGGTACCATGCTTGCCTACAAGCCGGGGGTAAATATATCAATCCATCCTGGTGGATGGAGCAAAGAAAGGCCACCCCTAACTGTTCTATTGAATTCCTATATCCCGAACGTCTGAAGTTAGAATCATATTCATGCATCCCATACAACATTTATCATTCGTGTTGAACAAAGGCATTTGATGCAAACATGTCAGTTCCCCGGGGTACGCTTCTTCAAGCAAGCATATGCAACACAATTCTACTCGAAAGGAGAGAAGCGAAATGGAGAGCTAGGTGGCAAACGAATTATTTGCATGAGACAGCAGACTGCTCTAGCCCCAGAAACAGATTTTGACCGCGTAATACACTCGGGTTAAGCAGACCTGAATGCTACCAGGCGCATTCCCGGGTTGTGGATGGAGGGATACTTTCACCGAAGAAAGTTAGCTGCGAATAAGTTGTAGCATGCGGCAACAAATAAGCAGTCGCAAACAAACAGTGGCGGTGTGGTGGATTTCAGACTGGTCACCTTGCACCGGTTTAAAAGCCGCGTAAGCCTAATGATGGTGTCATGACAAAGGCTGATGCGAGTGACCTTTTAAAACCAAAGTCATTCAATCCCTCACTTCTAAGGCGAGGGATTACTTCCCGCTGCCTTGCAGTTCGCACTTGGCTGTGCAAAGGTTAGGGGTACGCCCTCGAAATAAAAAGCGCCGAGTGCCGCTGGGGACGTCTTTCTTATTAAACTCACAAGGAACTTCATGATCATAATCATGCCTAGAGCCGACTCATCCTTTCCAAGGAGCCAGTCACAGTAAAGTAAAAAAAAATAAAGCGTATTCCCCGGCGTCTTGTCATCGCGTTTTTTCCGACCCCACAGTTGTCGTTCTTCCCCTTTTTTCTCAATTAAGAAAATATATTTCGCCGAAGGGAACAGTTGTTTGTTTCCCTTTGGTAATTTCAATTTGTGCAATCGTTTGAGTGAGAATACGGAACACTATGTAAGAACCGTTCCATTCAACTCCTGCAAAGCGCTTGTTTTGGGTAAGGAATGCGGTACTGCTTTTTATCAAAATGAGATCGCCTGAAGCACACACTGACAAAGCGACAGATGCAGCGGAAAATCCTCGTGATTGAACACACTCATTTCAACTGGTGACTGAACATCAGATGATACATTGTCCAGGACCATTCAACATTTAATGGATCTGGGATAATCAGTCAGTGAACCCGGAATGATATACAACCCCACATGACCGGCTTTGTGTGTGTGTGACTTCCAGTGTGACTCAATATGCTATCGTTTGATCTCGATTGCCCGCACAACCTGCCACGAATCCAAAGCTGTACCACGTTGTTCTGTTTATCATTTTTTAGTCCAAATGCTAATGCTGTGATGTGATCTTCGCATGCTCCGTCAAAAGCAACTGTAGAGATTAGACCCCGAAAACATTGGAAATATTTGGTCCTCTCCGGTTTAAAATCAAGCAGTTACTTGTTACTTGGTCCACATCTTTTGGCAGGTATAGTTCCCACATAGGGGAAGCGTTAAGTAAAAAAAGAGGACAGATCAATGGAAAAACAGATAAGCTGTCGAAAAGTTACACTGTTAAATAACTGAATCATTGACCTTCCATTTCGGGCTTTTAGAAAGAATTTCCAACTCCAAGAATGAAAATACAGATGGACACGGGGTCACTTAGAAACCGGTTTTCACTCCCGCTACGAACAAATCAGCAAACGAGTGTGTGAGAGAGAGAGTATCCCTGAATGATTTGTATTTAACAAAGTGCAAATGCTTACCGAAAACAAGTCTAAGGTAGCTTTCAGTGTTTTGGTTTTATTCTGAAAAATCCTGATTGATAGTGTGAGAGAAAGGAATAAAGCGACATAAACTCAGTTTATGGTCGAAAATATGAGATAGTAAAAGCGCGAAATCACAGAATGGCAGAACGCAAGTGGCGAACAGAAGTGAGGTACTTTGAGAACGGGTTTTCGATACAAGTTTGGACTGTAAGTTCAAGAGCCTGAAAGAAAAGCAGAGGATGGAAGGAGTAATGCTCGGATATCGTACTGTGAACTACTACTGCCAAACGACCATTGTATTCAAGGGAATCTGTATATACAAGTCAAAACTCTGGAAAGCGGGACCGAACAATTCACCAGTATAATCTGAAGGTGAACAGAAAAATGAACATCGCCGAGTATGATCCACACTTCGGACAGAAAATTTCACTGCAGAGCGCGAAGAAGCCATCGCAAAATCCGAAAGGCCACATACAGAGTTAAGCCGGTACCGACAATATTCTGCTGGAACTCCAGTGAGGAGACACGTCGTCGGAGATGGGCAATCTGTGACTCCATGCGTTCCATGGATTTTTCCGATCCGATGGGCGAGGCCACACGTGCGACTGTGCGCAAATCGGGCGACGAAGCCGCCGCATAGGCATTCGCAGTTGCGCTCGCTTGTGAATCACTCGCCACGGCATTGGCTGACGCACTGAAATCGAATAAAGACGAAAAGGGCTCCATGAAGCAGCAGTAGTAGTAGGAATAATCGAGCACGAGCATTCATACAAACAGAATTTCTATACAGAAGGAATACACCATCATCATCATCGTACAGCGAAATACAGTGAAAGGAACTACACTGATCGCTGCCAAACTCGCAAGGCATACAAGATTAATGGTGAAATTTAAGGTGGACAGGGATTGGACCTATTTTTTGGGAGGGAGAAGGGGAGCCACTATGGTCAACACAGAGTACGCAATCGAACTCTGCATATATACCGTTTCGAGCATTCTGACCTGATGAGAAACGACAACAAGAACGCCACTGCTACCAGTTCGCTGCCATATCCTTCAATATCTACAACCAACCAGTTGTGCAGTCTTTCGGACCCCAACCTGGAAGGCTCTGTGCATTTCTTCATGCTTGGTCTCCACGTCATCTGTTGACCTCCACGTGGTTTCCTCCAGTCCGGATTAGCCACAGCGAATAAAGCACGGTGCAGCATACGCCAGCAGGTTTATACCTGATAGACTCCCAAACACACGACGACTTACCTCCAGATTACTAACCCGTTCGCTCCAACCAACGTGGGCTAAACTGCGTAAACACCGATAAACGAAAACTTCTAGTCAACGGATATCTACTCGCAAATTCAAGGCCTTACAACCATAACGCAGAACTGAACGAACGGTGACACAATATACTA